AATCAGTTGCCCAGACCTCTTTTCTCTTCTCGTCTTTGTTTGACGACTGCTTCTGTCGTCCTTCTCTTTTGTCGGACCTTTTCCCGTCTGACTGTTTTACCGTACTACAAAGATCAGTCGCCTGTATATAGGCTTCCGCTTCAATCAAGGCCTCTTGAAGAGTCGCCATCCTCTTTCGGACCAAATCAAATTTGAAGGTCGACCCATCTTTGAGACCTCTGAAAAAGTCAGTATAGGCTACTTCATCCGGTAACCCTTGAATCTGTATTCTCATCAGGTTAAACCGCCTGATGTAAGAACGAAGCCCCTCCTTCTCGCCCTGCTGAATTGTTCCTAAATCAAGGGTCGTCTTCTTCGCAGGGATGTTCATGGCGAAGTTGGAGGTGAATAAGTAAGCAAGCGTCTTGAAGTTATTTACACAACCAGTCGGCAGGTTTCTGAACCATTGTTGTGCGATTCCTTGGAGAGTCGCTGGGAAACACTTGCACCAAGTGGGATCATCCAACCCTTGAAGGTACATCAGGTTGGTGAATGCCATCAGATGGTCTTCTGGGTTAGTAGTGCCGTCATAGGCGCCTACTAATACATTTTTCACTTTGGCCGGCTGAGCGGCTTCAGTAATTTCCTTGGAGAAGGTCGACGGTTGTTCACCAAGTCTAAGCAACCGTAGCTGCCAGTCCATAGGTTGGACATTTTTTGCTGCATGTCCACCAAACGGAGGTGGCTGTAAAAAATATTGTTGTTGCGGTACAAACGGTAAGTTTGGTACCGCCTGGTTGCTATGAAAGCCAGACTGACGGGAGGTGCCGCCTGACTGACTCTCATGATACGAATGAGTATGCCTCATCGAGGTATTTCGCAGACTATCTTGGAAGTTTGAAGTAGAGGCCGACTCTGACAATCGGTCACTCTTCTTCTGCTCTAGCAGTAGCCGAGCATCTGTGTATGTTTTCCTCGACCCGTCCGCCTGAATATGATGAACAAGTTTCCTATTTCCTGGAGTAGGAAAACGGTATTTTGTGAAATCAAGGGCAGGTGGCTCCCACTTCCTAGATTTAGGATGAGGGGTCGCCTCTCGCCCTTGAACTGGCTTCCTCTTCCGTGAAGTGGAGGGTCTCTTAGCCGACTGCTCCTTGTCCAGAGCAGGCGGCTTCTTGTTGATCAACTCTTGAATTTCTCCCTTGAAGTCCCTCATGAAGGTCATGAGTTCGTTCCTTGTGATGGGAGCAGACCCATCAGTCGGCTGCTGCCGAACAGGCGGTGCGCCTACTGGCTCGCTTCCAGTTTGAAGATGTTCCCGTTCCCTCCTTTCGGTATGACGGGTACGTCGGGCCCTTAGGGTCCCGTCTGAAGCTGTGTGAGCTTGAACTTCAAATTCATTCTCAGTATCGTGGTCCGACTGAACTAGAGGATCGTCCAGGGGACGTCTCTCTTCAGGAGCCGGTACAAACGTGGGTGCCATCTCAGAAGTACTCTCCCCACAGACGGCGCCAAAATGTTTTGGGGTTTTCTGATGTCCTGCGGGAGAGTTACAATTCCGAGACTGGAACCGGACGCCTGTACCTGCAAAACAAACGGATGCTCCGGATGATTGGAGATCCGCCTCCGACGGTCAAGTTAGTACTTGATTAAGGAGTAATTAATGCGGAAATTAAAGTGATTGGGTCCCTCTAGGTGAGAGTGTTTAATGTGTGTAATCTGCGTAATCTCTCTTAATGAGGATTAAGGGAGGTATTTATAACCTCGGGAAACGTGCCAATCTAGGTTTAGGTTAACCTTGGGCTGATTGGGCTTCCCTCGGAAGTTGGGCCTAGGTGGCCGGCTTCTCCATTAGGCATGGAGTATGCCATGTGTCATGACATAATAAGTCCAGGGTGGACGAATAAGCGTGTGCAACGTGGCAAGCCCTAAGAGGTCCAACGGGGGGACACTTGGCAGGACCTGATTGGCCCACGTGGCGCATTCCGATTGGTGGGAGAAAAATCCCCTAATTAGTAAGCATTAATGTGTTCGGGACTCAAACCCCCACAATAAGAGGTATCATGGTTTGTTCCACCGCAAATTTCACATGAGAAGGCATTGACTTATGAGGAGCTTGAACAGGCATTTCCACCCGCATTTAGTTTTTGCAACCCCTTTTTCAAAAGCTTGATTTGATGTTGGAGTTGATCAACTTTTTCCAATTCATATCTTCCTCCCTTTTTTGCTTGAGGCTTCCTTCGGCCCCCCCATGAGTAATTCTTTGCAACTTCTTCTATTGTGGCTTCAACTTGATTTTAAGGGATTTTAATCAATTGCCCTCCGGCTCCCGCATCTAGGTTGGCTCTAGACATCGGCTCTAGACCATCGTAGAAGAATCTCATAAGCAAACTTTGGTTGTATTCATGGTGTGGGCATGCTTGAACTAATTCCTTAAATCTCTCCCAAGATTCTCCCAAAGTTTCATTCGAATCTTGCTCAAAGAAGGCTATCTTCCTTCTCATCTCGGCGGTTTTCTCTTCGGAGATGAATCTCTTCAAGAAGGCCTTCACAACCTCCTTCAATGTAGTGAGAGAATTGGGCTTGACATATTTGAGCCACTTCTTTGCCCTTCCCGTAAGGGATTGTCGGAAAATATGCATTCGTATATAATCTTGGCTCACTTGATTTGTTTATATCATAGCACATAGTTCAAGGAATCGATCAAGATGTTCTATTGGGTCCTCACTTGGAGATCCGGAAAATTGCTCAGATTGCACCATCCTTGTGTATTGGGGATGGATTGTGAAGTTTGTCTCGGTAATAGGCAACAAGATGCCTCTGGTGAGCTCATATCCCTCCGAATTCCCAAATTCTCGAAATAAATAAAGCTCACTTGCTCATGCTCCGCCATATCGGTAGTAGCTTCACTAGCAAAGGGAGAAGAATCACTATCATAATCAAGTATCGAACCAAACCCTCTGTTATCTTCGTTAAAAAGTCTTCTAACTTGTCTCAAGGTGCGTTCGAGTTCGTGATCAAGTGGATATGTAGGTGGTCCCTGTGATCTCCTTTGCTTTCGACAAAGCTAAACACACCACTGACAATCACAATCAAATGACTCAAAGTAAAAGAAAATAAGACTCTAAAGCAACACAAAAGCAACACAAATTAGACTGTTCCCCCGGCAACGGCGCCAAAATTTGATGAGAAATGGAATGTCTTCGTTAATACACTTTTCCTATCTAATTAATCCTAGTTTACCAACGAGTATAAAGGCGAGCAAGGGTCAAATCCACGGAGAAACGGGAAATTGTGAAGCTAAGTGCCAACGAAAGAGGCTTGAAAAGGGTGTATATGAATAAGAGGGGAGTAAAACCAGGCAACAAACAACTAAGGCTAACAAAATTACTCTAACAATTAACAAAGACTAACAAGGATTATAAACTATGAGATTAAAAACCCTAGGGGGATTGGGGAACATCAAACTTGGAGATTAAGAGCTAAACACATAGATAATCAAGGATTCACAACCAAGGGATCAAAGATCCTACTTAACACAACTCATTCCCATGCAATTGATTAAGGAATGTATAAACTACGATCTATCCTAACATGATCACTCCCGCGCATCAATTAGGACATGTAATAATATGGTCAATGGTGCATAACATCAACCATATAACAATAACCACAAGTTCATACAACAAGGGTTTAAATCCCCAAAAATCAAATATTTAATCAAATAGCAACCAAGTCATCCATTCCCCTTTCCCTAGATAAAGTCTAGCCTAGGAGAGAGAAACTACCCATATCAACAATACCCAAAATATTGGCCATAATCAAAATCATAGACATAACTATCAATAATACTTGAAATATGTAAATAAACCAAAATAAAAGAGAGTAAGATAGAAAGAGCTCACAAAGCTTCAACTTTGTATTGAAATAAGAAAATGGGTCTTTGAACCTTCAATGGTGAACCACCAAAAATCCAATAGAATGCTCCAATATTAATTACAAGGATGATTAAAGCACTAATCTAGTTTAAAGACTAAAGTTTGGATGACAAAAAAACTAATAATCTGAACTTTCTCTCTCTAGAAACTCATACAAGCATTAATGGAGGCTATTCTCTCTCTAGAAATGTTCTAAGAACCTTGCCCTAAAATGGAATAGCTGCTTTTATTCATTCCCAAATCAGATTTTAAATGGGGAAATAAAAACGGGTTGGGCTGACAGCGTGCGCGCCCTCTACCGTGCTTTGCGCGCCCGCGAAGGCTACTGTGCGCGCCCTCTAATAATGTATGCGCACCCGCGAAGGATATTGTGCGCGTACTCTACAGGGCTCACTTGGCATCTACAGAAAGTTGCCTTGAATCTTAAAGCCAAGTTGCGAGCCCTCTCCAGGCATCATCGCGCCCGCGCAGAGTGGTGTGCGCGCCCTCTACAGGGCGCGAGGCATCTACGAGGGAAACAACCTGATTTCATCTCGATTGCGCGCCCTTTCTCTTGGATTGCGCGCCCGCGCAGAGTGGGAGAGAGGGCTATCCTGGGCGTGCAGCCTGATCAGAAGCTCCTCACTTGATTTTTTCATGAAATCGGCTCTCGAAACTATCCCGAACTTTCCTCTACTTCACGTATCGATCGGTTAACCTGCAAAACAGAAGAAAACACCCAAAAACAGTACAAAAAGGTAAAGTCGAGGGGAAGTACGAGGGAAATGGCATTGTTGTGTAATATATGGGAAAGCACGGCAAAATAGGGCTAAACAAGCGATAAATGGAGGGAAATGGTAAGGAAATGAATCCCGAATAGTGGCATAAATGCCACTTATCATCTAACTATCAAAACAATGAATAGAAAAATCCCCCATCCCTCTGAGTTCCATACAGAATAGCATCAGGTACTTACTGGAGACTTTCAGTGCTACAACATTGATTGCCAGCAGCAGCAGCCTTTAACGAGGGGTCCCATTGCTGATTTGTTCCTCCATTCTCCCCCTAAAACTTGCCACACTCTTCCTGCACGCATTTGATCCTTTACTGATCAAGAATTGATGAGTTACCGTATACATCAGCTTGCTTGCTAGAAGGTTGCACCGGCCTCCAAACTTTCTGAGCTGTAGGAACATAAGTTTGTTTCCATACCCTTTTGTTAGGGCAGATATCTACCGTATGTCCCATGCCCTTACACATGGAGCAAGTGACAGGCTTCCACACAAATATCACCTCTTGTTTCACATTACCACCATTTTCATCTAAGAATTCAATATGCTCCATAAAACTACCATTAATCTCTACCTCTATTAATACCCTTGCATACTCAATAAGTTCTTTGTTGGCAGTAGCTATATCAAGCTTCAAAGGCACACCCACCAGACCCCCTATCTTCATGAGGGTAGACTTCCCCCAAAACTTCAAGTCCGATCCAGGCAAACGAACCCAAACAGGCACAGTGCTAATCTTCTCCTCTCTAAGGTTGATTCTAGGCTTCCTTTTCCTCACAATCAAGGGCTTCCTATCAAACAACATAGGACCAGCATTCATGGATGCATCCCTTCCTTCAATAGATCCAAACCTAACAAGGAAAACCCCATCTGGCATCGAACAAACCCTTTCAATCCTGAATCTCCCCCAATCCTTCTTACAAAACCAGACAACATAGAAATAGGTGGCCTAGCACCTAGCACATAGCACACAACAGCCTGATTCCATAAATCAATTTATGGACTCACGTCCTCCAATGTCAATTTAGGCTTCTTCTTAGAGGGAATCTTGAATTCACCCCCATTTTTACATCCATTAATGGCTGAGTGAACAGAATTAGCATCACCAACATTCCTCTTCTTGAATTTATCAACTAACCTTCGAAAATGAAATTTACTCGGAACCGAACGTAAAATTAATAGATTCAGGATTTCCTATGGCATTGTTATATCCATGGACACTACCTTTACTATCACAAATCATCATAATCGGAGTCGGGTTCTCAAAATCAGGGCACTTAGAAAGATCGAGATCCCCAATAATTGGTTTCAACCCACAACCCTTTATCCCAGAAAAATTCAAAACCCGAGGAGTGTGTTGATGAATTACTTGACGCCTTTGTTGATACTGCTCATAATGAGAAGCTTCCTCACCATCGCAAACTTCCGCCATTGGAGGTTCCTCTAGAATCGACCCATCTAGCCAACTCTCGACATATATATCTCCCGAACTGAAGTTGCCTTCTTTCTTCTTCGAGAAATTCTTCGGACCTTCTTTCCCTTTGTTCTTTAGGTTAGATGAATTCTTCCTTTTTCCCTTCTTTCCTTTAACCATGGCTAAAAAGCCAAAGGTTTGAGAACCAGAATGGCGGGGAAACCGAGAGAATTCTCTCAACTTTCACTCTCTAACTTTCTCTACTTTCATTGGATTTAATTAGCTTTGTTGAATGCATTTGACTTTCACGTGATTCAATTAGATTTGTTTGAATTCATTTGAATTTCATTCAATTCAATTAGCATTGTTTGATCATTTTCACTTTCATGTGATTTTAAAAGCTTTGTTTGAATGTGTTTGACTTTCATTTGGTTCAATTAGCTTTGTAAAACGTGTTTTACTTTCATTTGATTCAAAAAGTTTTGTTTGAAAGTGTTTGAATTTCTTTTAATTCAATTAGCTTTGTTGAATGCATTTGAGTTTCATTTAATTTAATTAGCTTTGTTTACATTCATTTGACTTTCATTCAATTTAATTAGTTTTGTTGAATGCTTTAAACTTTCATTTAATTCAAACAGTTTTGTTTAGATTTGTTCGACTTTCTTTTGATTTAATTAGCTTTATTTAATGCTTTTGACTATTATTTGTTTCAAAAAACTGTGTTTCAATTTATTTGACTTTAATTGTATTCAATGAGCTTTGTAGAATGCTTTTGACTTTCATTTGATTCAAAAAGCTTTGTTTGAATGTGTTTGACTTTCTTTTGATTTATTTAGCTTTTTTGAATGCATTTAATTATCATTTGATTCTTTAGCTTTGTTGAATGCTTTTGACTCTCATTTGATTCAAAAAACTTTGTTTGAATTCATCTGACTTTCATTCTATTCAATTAGCTATGTCGAATGCTTTTGACTTTCATTTGATTCAAAAAGCTTTGTTTGAATACGTTTGAATTTCATTTAAATCAATTAGCTTTGTTGAATGCATTTGCCTTTCATTTGATTTCATTAGATTTGTTTAAATTCACCTTGACTTTCTCTCTATTTAATTAGCTATGTTAAATGCTTTAGACTTTCATTTAATTCAAAAAGCTTTGTTTAAATGTGTTTGACTATCATTTGATTTAATTAGCTTTGTAAAATGCTTTTGACTCTCATTTGATTCAAAAAGATTTGTTTGAATGTGTTTGACTTTTTTTTATTCAATTAGCTTTGTTGAATGCACTTGATTTTCATTTGATTCCACTAGCTTTGTTTATATTCATTTGATTTTCATTCTTTTTAATCAGCTTTGTTGAATGCTTTTTACTTTCATTTGATTTAAAAATCTTTGTTTGAATGTGTTAGACTTTTATTAGATTCAATTAGTTTTGTTGAATGCTTTTGACTTTCATTTTATTTAAAAAACTTTGTTTGCTTTTTTTTACTTTTATTCTGTTTAATTAGCTTTGTTGAATGCTTTTCACTTTCCTTTGATTCCAAAAGCTTTGTTTGAATGTGATTAACTTTCAATTGATTCAAATAGCTCTATTGAATGCTTTTGACTTTCATTTTATTCAAAAAGGTATGTTTGAATGTGTTTGACTTTCTCTAGATTCAATTAACTTTGTTGAATGCTTTTGACTTTCATTTTACTCAATTAGCTTTGTAGAATGCTTTTGACTTTCCTTCAATTCAAAAAGATTTGTTTGAATGTGTTTGACTTTCTTTTGATTCAATTAGCTTTTTCGAATGCATTTGACTGTTATTTGATTGAAGTAGCTTTGTTGAATGCTGTTAACTTTCATTTGTTTCAAAAAGCTTTAATTGAACGAGTTTGACTTTCTTTAATTTTGATTCAATTAGCTTTCTTGAATGCATTTCACTTTATGTGATTCACTTAGATTTGTTTGAATACATTTGACTTTCATTCAATTCAATTAGCATTGTTGAATGTTTTTAACTTTCATTTTATTCAAAAAAATTTGTGTGAATGTGTTTGACTTTCATTAGATTCAATTTTCTTAGTAAAACACTTTTGACTTTTATTTGATTCAAAAAGTTTTGTTCGAATGTGTTTGACTTTTTTTTTATTCTCTTAGCTTTGTTGAATGCATTTCACTCTCAATTGATTCAAAAAGATCTGTATGAATGTTTTTTAATTTGGTTTAATCATCTTTGTTAGATGCTTTTGACTTTCATTTGATTCAAAAAGCATTGTTTGAATGTGTTTGACTTTTTTTTCATTCAATTAGCTTTGTTGAATACATTTGGTTTTCATTTGATTCAAATAATTTGTTGAATGCTTTTGGCTTTCATTTGATTATAACACCTTTAGTTGAATGTGTTTAAATTTCTCTTTGTTCAATTAGCTTTGTAGAATGCTTTTGAATTTCATTTGATTCAAAAAGCTTTGTTTGAATATGTTTGATTTTCTTTTTATTCAATTACCTTTGTTTGAATGCTTTTGACTTTCATTTGATTCAAAAAGTTTTGTTTAAATATGTTTGACTTTCATTTGATTCAATAGCTTTGGTAAATGCTTTTGACTTTCATTTAATTCAATTAGCTTTGGTAAATGCTTTTGACTTTCATTTGATTCAAAAAGCTTTGTTTGCATGTGTTTGACTTTCATTTGATTGAATTAGCTTTGTTGATAGTTGTTGCCTTTCATTTGTTTCAAAAAGCTTTAATTGAATGAGTTTGACTTTCTTTTGATTCAATTACCTTTGTTGAATGCATTTGACTTTCACGTGATTCAATTAGATTTGTTTGAATTCATTTGACTTTCATTCAATTCAATTAGCATTGTTTGATCATTTTCACTTTCATGTGATTTTAAAAGCTTTGTTTGAATGTGTTTGACTTTCATTTGGTTCATTTAGCTTTGTAGAACGTTTTTTACTTTCATTTGATTTAAAAAGTTTTGTTTGAAAGTGTTTGAATTTCTTTTGATTTAATTAGCTTTGTTGAATGCATTTGAGTTTCATTTGATTCAATTAGCTTTGTTTGATTTTATTTTAACTTTAATTCTATTCATTTAACTTTATTAAATGCTTTTTACTTTCTTTTGATTCAGAGAGCTTTATTTGAATGTATTTTAATTTGATTTAATTATCTTTATTAGAAGCTTTTGAGTTTCATTATTTTCAAAAATCTTTTTTTGAATGTGTTTGACTTTCATTTAGTTCAATTAGCTTTGTAGAACGGTTTTTACTTTCATTTGATTCAAAAAGTTTTGTTTGAAAGTGTTTGAATTTTTTTCTGATTCAATTAGGTATGTTGAATGCATTTGAGTTTAATTTGATTCAATTAGCTTTGTTTGAATTTATTTGACTTTAATTCTATTCATTTAGCTTTGTTAAATGCTTTTTACTTTCATTTGATTCAAAAAGCTTTGTTGGAATGTGTTTTAATTTAATCAAATTATCATTGTTAGAAGCTTTTGACTATCATTTGATTCAAAAAGATTTGTTTGATTCCTTTTGACTTTCTTTTTATTCAATTAGCTTTATTGAATACATTTGACTTTCATTTGATTTAATTAGTTTGTTGAATGCTTATGAATTTCATTTGATGTAAAAACCTTTGTTAAAATTCATTTGACTATCATTCTATTCAATTAGCTTTGTAGAACGCTTTTGACTTTTATTTGATTCAAAAACCATTGTTTAAATGTCTTTAAATTTCATTTTAAAAAATTAGCTTTGTAGACATTTCACTTTCATTTGATTCAATTAGCTTTATTTTAATTCATTTGACTTTCATTCTATTCAATTAGGTTTGTTAAATGCTTTTAACCTTTATTTGATTCAAAAACGTTTCTTTGAATATGTTTGACTTTCATTTGATTTAATTGGCTTTGTAGAATGCTTTTGACTTTTATTTCATTAAAAAAATCTTTGTTTGAATGTGTTTAACTTTCGTTTGATTTAATTTGCTTTGTTGAATGCATTTGTCTTTCATTTGGTTGAATTAGCTTGTTTGATATCGTTTGACTTTCTTTCTAATCTATTAGCTTTGTTAAATGCTTTTAACTTTCATTTGATTCAAAAGCTTTGTCTGAATGTGCTTGACTTTCATTTTATTCAATTAGCTTTGTAGAATGCTTTTGACTTTCATTTGATTCAAAAATCTTTGTTTAAATGTGTTTGACTTTCTTTTTATTCTATTAGCTTTGTTGAATGCTTTTTACTTTCATTTGATTCAAAAAGTTTTGTTTGAATATGTTTGACTTTCATTTGATTCAATTAGCTTTGTTGAATGTTTTTTACTTTCATTTGATTCAAAAAGCTTTGTTTAAAAATGTGTGACTTTCTTTTAATTCTATTTGCTTTATTGAATTCATTTGTCTTTCATGTGATTCAATTACATTTGTTTGAATTCATTTGACTTTCATTCAATTCAATTCGCTTTGTTGGATGA